GCCAGGCTTCCCTGTCCTTCACTATCTCCTAGAGTTTGCTCAAACTCAAGTCAATTGAGTTGATGACGCTATCCAACCATCTTATCTTCTGCTGCCCTCTTGCCTTAAATCTTTCCAGAAAATTGGTTGAAAATTCAGTCTCTGTTACTGAAGCCTTGTGAACCTGTGCAAGGAAGGGATTTCACTTTTCCAAGCCTCATGTGTCTCTTCCATGATACAGCAAACATAACACTAATCCCCACGGGTTGTTGTAAGAATAAAGTGTCTGGCAAACAGTAGGCCCTCAATAAGTGTTAGATCTCCTCCTACCAGCCTTTTCTTTTGCCCCATCCAAAGGGGCTTTCCTAAGTGACACTATTTGAAGAATGAATTCTCACCTTAAGAAATAAAAACTCTGTACTTTAATCTTTATGCCTGAAAAGCCAATGGTTAGCTTGTGTAAGGGGCAAATACTGCCAGATGGCACCAGCTTTGAGAAAGAAGAGCCTGGCATTAGCTGTGCATTTCAGAGGCTTTAGGAAGTCACAGAATCTCACCCTTACACAGATGATGTCGTCCCTCACAGCCCCAGGACAGAGTGGGCCTCTTCTTCTGATTATACATCAAGCTTATTATAATCCTTTTGGGTTGGCAGAAACGTTCATTTGGGGTTGGCGGAAACATTCATCTAGAACCCAAACATAAAACAAACCATGTCATAAATATTAATGTAATTATTGGGTTGCCAAACCAATAATTACATTAATATTTATGACATGGTTTGTTTTATGTTTACACATTCTCCAAGAGCAAGGACTATGCCTAGCACAGTGCCTGGCACATAAAGGGTGAAGGAATGAATGAAGTTTCCACCCATTTTATCTCATTTCAGCCATATATCAGTACTGTTGATGACCATAGGGCCAAGATGATAATCTGTACTTTAGAGATGAGGATACTGAAGTTCAGAGAGGTTGCACCACTGTCAAGGCCATCCAGTAAGTGGTGGGGTAGACACTTCAGTTCAGACCTCTTGACACAAAGTAGGGTATACCTTTCCTCCACGCCTCTGTCCTTTGACTCATCAGCCTCACCCTCCTGTTGATACACACATGGTGACATTTGAGAGAAGCTCTGCTCCCTGGAACCTTCCATCTGGGCGTGTTGTTCGTTGGCCTGGTGCTATCTCTTGAGCACTGACGGTCCACTTTCTACCTTAATCCATTGAGTAATGGGCTATATATCAACTGACAACGGCCTCATCTGCTGCTGGCAAGGCAAATCCATACATGTTCAGTTGCACAGGGCCCAGGAAGCTTCTGGCAGGGAGGGTTCCCAGAGTTAGGGTCTAAAGCTGGTTAGGTTTGTGCTGTTTGCTGAGGTATAGGAGGGAGAGACTTGATATTCAGCTTCAATGTTTCAGAAGTTTGATCATTTCGTTCATTTCTGTTCACTTTCCCTTCCTCTGATATCCAAAGATTAAAATGAAAAAACAAACAAACCCACTCTTGTAGGTCAATTACACTTCAAACAAACCCATAGAAAAAGAGATTAGATTTCTGGTTATTAGAGGCAGAGGGACAGAGGAATTGGATGAAGGCAGTTAAAAGGTATAAATTTCCAGTTAAAAGGTTAATACTAGGTAAATCTTAATTAGGGCTTCCCAGGTGGCACTAGTGGTAATGAACCTGACTGCTGATGCAGGAGACATAAGAGATGGGAGTTTGATCCCTGGGTTGGGAAGATCCCCTGGAGGAGGGCATGGCAACCCACTACAGAATTCTTGCCTGGAGGATCCCATGGACAGAGGAGGCCGGTGGGCTACAGACCAGAAGGTTGCAAAGAGTCGGACACAACTGAAGCAACTTAGCATGCATGCATGTAAATCTAAATTATGCTGAATTGATTCATAGTGCTTTTTATGTCTACTATATCCTTCTACTTCTCTGTATATTCAATTAATTTTTGAGAGTTTGATGTTGAAACTCCAACTAAAAATCTTAATTTATCTACTTAAAAAATAATTGTAATATATAATGGAACTATAAGTAACCTTGTTCTGTATTTTCCAAGTCTCCTGTTATATTTTCATAAAAAAAAAAGATTAACAATAGGGATGTAAGTTACATGACAAATCTAACACTGCTGTATATTATATATGACGTTGTTAGTGTAAATCTTAAGAGTTCTCATCACAAGGAAAAAAAATTTCCTTTTTTTCTTTTGTTTTGTACATATACCAGATAATGGATGTTCACTAAACTTATTGTGGAAATCATTTCATGATGTATGTAAGTGAAATCATTAGGCTGTATACCTTAAAATTATACAGTGCTATGTATCAATTATATCTCAATAAAACTAGAAAGAAAAAAAACAAAACACTTAGAACAATTAGGTCTGTTTATATTCTCAATCCTCTTTTAATTGCTATCCATCCTTTACCAATTAACCAGATCTTTGATCTAGCTATGCAATAAACATCCCAACCCTCTCCTTTCTCTCCATTAAACTCAGTTCACAACATTCTGTTAAATCCATCCCCTTTTTAAACTTCTCCATCTCTGGGGATCCCTAGGGAACACTTAGAAACGCATGCTCAAGAAGAAACTGGACTTACTGTTTAGCCAGAATGGGAGTAACAAAATGTGTGTGTCCGACCCAGCTTCCTTTGGACTAATGGTGAAATGTGGGGTGAGTGATTTCACTTCCACAGTGTGCATTTCTGAACCTGCAGCAACTCCTCCACAACCTCTTGTGTTCCTCTAGTGCACTTCATCTTGTAAAGACCTTGATGACGAATCAGAGACATGTCTTAAGAACGATAGTGAAACACTCACTCACCACCCTAGAGGTGTGGCTCTTGATCAAGAGTTAGAAGCAGAAAAGGTCATCCCTAAGCCTAAGGTGGTTTGAAAGTGCTTGTAACAAGATTGTCTTTGTAACAACTTCCTCAACAAGACTTCATAGCCCTTTATTAACCCAAACAATGGTTAAGTAGATATGAACAGAACAGTAGCACCCCTTGAAATGTGGGTGGCATGGGCTCCCTGTGGCTTCAGCAGAAAAGCTGGTCTTTCCTTCCAAAACTACCACGGACAGGCAGCTTCACCAGTCATTGAGGCCAGCCTGAGAGTCCACTTGGACTGAGGTCAGCACAGACCAGAGGGGTGAGGGCTGGTCAGGCACCTGTGGCCAAGAGAAGAGGGTAGGATGGTTCAGGTCACAAAACCAGGGGCCCTGTACCAGGGCTGGGGGTGGGCACGCTTCAGCAGACCATGTGATCTGAATAATGCCTGGGAGCGGCAGGGAGCCAAGAGAACAGGCAGAGTCACCAAGCAGGAAGGAAACAGAGCCAAACCACCGGGCCCAGACACAGTCAGAGGACCCACAGAAGCCAGAAGCACCAATAACAAGACTGGTGGTGGGAACAGCAAGTGGCAGCAACAGCAGCAGGAAAATTCAGTGAATGCCAGAGGCAGCAAGTTTGTAAGACCTTTGACTTAGTGACTGAACATGGACTAAATACAAAGGGGATCAGACAACAAGTATCAGCGTGTGCCTAGACGGAGAGCTGGATTTGATCCCTGGGTAGGGAAGATTCTCTGGAGAAGGAAATGGCAACCCATGCTAGTATTCCTGCCTGAGAATCCCATGGACAGAGAAGTTCATGGGGTCCCAAAGAGTCAGACACAACTGAGCGACTAACTTTAACACACTATATATATATATTTAAAAGAATATAGACATGCGAGGCAAGTGGGCAAAAATGAGCAACACGTGCTGCTAATATACACTGAAAACAACACCAACACTAATCTGAGCCAAGATGCAAAATGCCTGGTACAGAGTCTTACACTGAGTGACCTGCATGCTAAGTCGCTTCAGTCAGGTCCAGCTCTTTGCTGACCCCTGGGACAGGAGCCCACCAGGCTCCTCTGTTCATGGGGCTCTCCAGGCAAGAATACTGGAGTGGGTTGCCATTCCCTCCTCCAATGGCTCTTTCCAACCCAGGGATCCAACCAGCATCTCTAATGACTCCCACGTTGGTAGGCGGGCTCTTTACCACTAGCGCCACCTGGGAAATCAAGTAGGAGCTCGAGAAATCATGCAAGTCCCTTTCTTTCATCCAAGCGCCCAGAAAAGGGACCCCCTCCTCCCTCCCCAGCTTCCTAGAGAAAGACTGATATTATGGACTAGTTATGAGCCTTGACTACTTACCTGCTCTGAGGTGAAAGTCTAATTGCTTAGCAAAGCTGTTCATTTATTCTTTTTACCTACAAATCTATTTCTATTTCACAGTGCACCCCCAACCCCGTGCTATTTACCTGTTAATTTCTTTGCGTCTATATTTCAAAGGTAAGACCTTATCAGGACCTTTCTGTGAATTGACTGTACAGTCCACAGAAATTCTTAATTTGAATGCAGCCCACCCCTCCTAATCCATAGGTGTCTCGTCCAGTCCGTAAGGTGTGTCCAGTCCAGGCAAACACGATGAAGGCACAGAAGGAGTCTCTGGCCCAGACTGGTATTGTACTTAGGGGGCTTCTCAAGTAGAGGCAATGACAGTCCAAGGTCGTGGCCACTGAAGCGCGTCCCTAGACGCACCCCTCCCCACTGGGCCCAGGCAGGCGGATCTGTCCCACGCCCGCCCGCAGCTTCCACGGAGAACGGGGTTCCGCGCCAGCTCCGGCTCAAGGAGCGCCCGGGGCCACTGTCCCGCGGACAGCGGCTGAAGTCAGGTTACAACTCACCTTGGAACCGGGGCGCCAGACCTCCCGTAGGCAGGGCGTTCTCCCCCCCACCCGATGACATCATCTGTTTGGGGCTGAGTCGCTCCATAAAAGCAGCCCGCGGGAAGCCAGGAGCCCAAAGAACAGAGGTGCTGGCCGTGACGCCCCGGCTGCGCGCACAAGGTCCCGGTGAGCACCCCGCCGGCCCCAGCGTCCCAGCCAGAGGGCGAAAAGGAGCTCAGCCGCCCGCAGCCCGCGCTCGCCGCCCGCGCCGGGAGCCGCCCGAAGATGCCTCGCTGCAGCCTGCACGCGGCGGCCGTGCTCCTGCTCGTGGTCTTAAAGGAACAGCCTTCCAGCCCAGCTCCGCTCAACGGTAAAGTTTCTTCTGCCTCTTGTTTCAGAACAATCCCGAGCGCTCAGCCACACCTGGGCAGGAGGAGTCCTCACGCGGCTCGTTAAAGATAAAGTAAAATCATCTGCGGGGAGCGGAGAAGGACCTGTAGGGTCTCCAACAGCACGTTTTTACAAAGGACGCTTCATTTTCCTTTGGAAGGCAGGGTCCGTTCTGGTTTCGCAGGGTGGGCGGGGTAGTGGGGGGAGCGGTTTGCCGCACATTATCCTCGAATTAAACTACGTTTGTGCCTTCTCGGGGTACACCCCCCCCCACACACACACACCCACCCACAGCGCTGGAGAGGTGGCTTGGGAATTTGCTAACCCGGGGAGAAGAAACAGGACCAGGATGTAAAATACTGTGCCCCGACCCACGTGCAGACGGCAGAGGAGTGCCTGGGGTGTTCCCGAGCAGCCTCTTTACCAGGGAGGGTTGGCACAGTGGTGGGTGCTTTCCTTTGGAGGAGACACTCTTTACCATTAAGTTTTACCTCCAAGTCAAAGAGATGATGCATCTCATCCCTAATCATTGTTTTTCTCCAGAAGGGCTCTACTACTCTGAAGTTGTACGTGTGTGTGCCCCACGTGCCCTCAGACGAGCATACATAACCTTATTTCTGAGTGCAGTTAGTTAGGGCTTTGAACCCTGAAGGGCTGGAGGCTGGTGGTGCCCAGCCAGTAGCAGGAGATGGTAGAGGGGGTTGGGTCTGGGAGGTGGGTTGCAGCCAGCAGCTATAGTGTTAGTTGCTCAGTTGGGCCCCACTTTTTGGGACCCCATGGACTGTAGCCCCCCACCCCAGGCTTCTCTGTCCATGGAATTCTCCAGGCAAGAGTACATGGAGTGGGTTGCCATGCCCGCCTTGAGGGGATCTTCCCCATCCAGGGATGGCGCCTGGCTCTCCTGTGTGTCCTGCCTTGTAGGTGGATCCTTACCCTCTGAGCCATCAGGGAAGCCGGTAGACAGCCCACAGCTAAGGTGAGGGCTTCTGCCTGGGTCTCCACAGCTGGGTGAGCCCTTTTCTGGAGGAGTAGATGGTGACTTACAGAAACTTCCCGAGTAACAGATGGTGGCTACTGCCCTTGACAGAGTTTGCCCCAAGTTGTATGGACATTTGTAGGTGCAGCCATTCCTGCTGCTGCTGCTAAGTCACTTCAGTCGTGTCTGACTCTGTGCGACCTCATAGAAAGCAGCCTACCAGGCTCCTCCGTCCATGGGAATTTCCAGGCAAGAGTACTGGAGTGGGTTGCCATTGCCTTCTCCAGCGACCATTTCTAGACCCAGGCTAGGTTGAAACATTCCTAGAAGGGCCCAGAGTGACTAGAATGGCTGCCAGTCCATATTCCCTGGCTGGGTGGTGGTGGTGAGAAGTTGGTTCTGCTCAGAGGCATGAAAGCTGGAGCCCCCTCCCGTCAGAGGGCATGGTGCCCATGGGGCATGGTAGGAGAGGCAGAGGGAGCCTGGCTGTCAGCAGCTTTGTCACTCCTTTTAATTCAGTTCAAGTCCACTAGCTGGCTTGATTTGCTTGGTAGTTATCTTCCTCATCTGGTGGGGGAGAAAGTGGATGGGAGAAAGGAGTTATAAAAGTAGAAATTAGTTTATAAAACTGCAGACTTTGATATATATTCCCCTCTGAAGAAAGCTGCACTGAAACCCAAAGTCTGACTTGAACTCTCCCTTTTAGCTCCAAGACGAGAGAGAAGCCCTTTACTGGCCCTCTTCTGAAAGCCTGTTTCTCCCCTCACTCTGGGGGCAGCTCCTTCTCCCTGCTGTGCTTCTCTGACCCTCTGGACCCTCCTCTCCCCCTTCTCCTTGCCCTTCTCTCTTTTCCGTTCTCCCAGCTGGGCTGGGGAAAGTTTTCAGTTAAAAAAAAAAAAAAATCTACTTTCACTCTACACTGAGCAGCCAGCCTGCTTACCCCCTTGATTCTAAGAACACAGTTTTTATTCTGTTCTTCCTCAGGCAGGTTTCTTGGCTTTTTAGTCAAAGCAAAACTCACCGAGATGTAAAGTGTCAGTATTAACCCAAGTGTGGAGCGGGGGTTAAGCTGGGCAGTGGGTGAGAAAGTGGTCTGACCTCTGCCTGCGTGCATGCTAAGTCACTCAGTCGTGTCCAGCTCTTTGCAACCCCATGGACTGTAGCCCGCCAGGCTCCTCTGTCCATAGAATTCTCCAGGCAAGAATACTGGAGTGGGTTGCTATGCCCTCCTCCAGGGGATCTTCCTGGAACACCTGAATTCTCAGTGACTGGCACTGGCAAACCTCGGGGGTCAGTGAGGGAGCGGGCATAATAAAAGTCAAACATCTTCCAGAGATAACCGGGGAACTCTCAGTTGCTGGGGCAGGGGGTGGGGGGAACTGGGCAGCTTTGGGCACCCCGGATGTCGGTTAGTCAGGGAAGGTTCTAGCACCCAGGACAGGAAGCAAGCAGGGCCCAGAACCCCTGACCTGAATCTTTGTAAATATCAATTCCTCTGAAAGCTGCCAGGACGTTCTCCCTGCCCAGGATAAGCTGGGCCTGCAGGTTCTAACAGGCATCCACCTGGACCTCCCAGTGCTCAGGACAGAAGTGATGACCTTCTCAGAACAGACACCCTCAGGAAGCTACTGAAGTGCAGCCACGGGGGGGCGGGGGGGCGGTTTGCCTGGCCTGCCTGGTTGGGGGGGCAGTTTAATTCTGTGAAGACCCTTGCCCCTAAAGTGAGAGGTGGGAAACCAGGAGGGGCCATTTCCAAATAAAGCAAAGGTGCACCCTTCCTTTCTAAAGTTTTCTTGACCTCAGTTCTAGCAGACAGTGAACCAAACTGGGCACTGACCTTCATCCAGTGAGACCCCCTGACCCAGATCACCCTCCCCTTCATTTTACAGTGCCTCTCCTCTCTAGACTCCAGCTTTCGAGCCCCTCCAGACATGGCCATTTATACCCAAAGCACTGAGTTTTGAGGTCCAAGCAGGGTCGCTCAGTGAAACAAGGGCAGGAAAGATTGTGCTGATGCTTTTTAAGAACATGTCCCCAGGCCTGTGTCACCGCCTGAGCCCTTACAGTCCCAGAGGCACGTGATCACACTGAGCTTACCAGAGCATTGTGCTGATGCCTCATCTGAGGATGAGTGCTGCAACAGTGTGGAAACCTCAGCTTAGCAAGCTTTGGGGAAGGGAGCAGAAGATATAGGCTGTTAAGGCCATGGTTTGATTTTGGTGCAGGTGCAATTAAAATTTCTGGCCAATGCGATTGCTCAGAGGCTGCAGATGTTTTTTCCTGGTGATCCTCCAGGATCACTGAGTGGCCTGTGTCTCTCCAGGGAAGCATTGAGGATGAAATTCCCTGTTCCTTGTGAGATTTTACATCCTGGGCCAGTGACAATCCTCTGGATTCCTTTGACTCTGAAATCCATGGTTGTATTTTAATAAAACCCCTCAAACAGAATGCCGATGGAAAATGTTCAGAAAAGTGGTTTGAAGTTTTCTGTAGCTTGGTTTCCAAGCCATGCTATTTTTTCCCCCTTTTCACTCTTGTTTCAGTGAGAGGCTAGAAGTAAACTTGGGGGTCACATAGAAGTTTGGGCTCACCATGGTTCTGAATGCCTTCATCCAACTGCTGATTCAGAGGAGGTGAATTTAGGGACTATTAAGCCCTGTCCAGTCCATGGCAGGTTTCAGGGAGTTTTTGGGGTCCTGGGTACTTTCATGGTACACATCTTTGCCATAAGCATTTTCAAGGTATAACTAATTGGCCCATAAGGCAATTTTGCTGTAGAAAATAATAAAAAGTAAAAGCAGGACATCAAAAAAGACATAATGAACAGAAATAGAGTCAAGTGTATAAAAACTTATGGTTACTGGGCGGGGGGAGAAGGTGAGGAGGGATAAATTGGGAGATTGGGATTGACATATACACATTACTATACATAAACAGATAACTAATAAGGACTTATGTAAAGCACAGGGAACTCTACTCAATACTCTGTAATGGACCTATATGGGAAAAGAATCTTAAAAAGTGTGTGTGTGTGCGCATATATATATATATATATATATATATAACTGACTCATCTTGCATACAACTGAAACTAGCATAACACTGTAAATCTACTTCAATAAAATTTTTAAAGGACATAATGGAACATAAAAATTTAAAAGACTTACAAATATAAAATATTTGAATACATTAAAAAAATGTATATAGATTCATAGTAATACTGTGCAAATAACTGATTTTATCTTGTGGGCTGTACCTAAGCATTTGCCTCCCAAGTCTTTCGTTCATAGTGTTTTATACTTTTTTTTTGTTTGTTGGTTGTTGATTCATCTCCTCAGTCAGCCTTGCACTTTTCCTTCCTTAAGAGAGGTACTGGTTTGCAGGTATGAGGGTGCATGTTTGTACCTGAGCTTTCTGTTGCAGTGTGAAAGCCTCTACCCTATGGTAGATTCTTGGCATCTTGTCACCTATCTATTGATAGATGTTTCAAAGTTGTGGGAAATGTTGGCTCAACCTTTGAGGCCCTTGGCCTCTTTTTCCTCCAGTGTAGTGTGTTTCAAAGGGAGAAACCAATTCTTGATGCTAATGATCATCACTGGTCAGCTGGATAAAACCATCAATAACATCACTAACTGGAAGAAATGCTAATGCAGTGGAAATCCAACTGCCAAACCAAAAACTGTCAGCCAGTTATTTGATCTTTCATGGCAGAAATGTCTTACTGCCAGTTAATTATGCAACAACAACTTGTGGCAAAAATGCTTGTGGCAAAGAAGTTTACAGTAAAATAAAGAAAAAGGAAAAAACACACAGAACAAAAAACCAACACAGTTCTATGGACCTCCTGAAATTAACTGTATGTGAAATTTCTTGTGTTCAAGCTTACGGACACTTTTAATGAGGAAAGGCAGCAAATACTCTAAGGGGTCTGGACTACCCCCTCTAGCTCAAGGATTCTCTAAGTTCATGGGAAGTGATGGGAAATGTGGAGAAACACTTCTTAACAGGCATTGATCCACTTTGCCTTATGGTCTTTCATTGCTCTATCTAGAAATCAAGGAGATGGGTGTGTGAAAGAGCCCTTTGTCCTTCTCTTCCAAAGTGGGCTGTCAACAATTAATGCCTAAACCTAAGCAAATCATGAAGGCTCAATATAGATATATTTTTATAGCATTGTGGAGATAATGCCAAAAGAATCATGTCAAAAGAATTCAAAGTGGTTGCCATAGGGAAAAGGAAAGTGACTCAGGAGTGTCAGGGGACTGATTTTTCATTGAAAGCCTGATATGGATAGAACCATCTGAGTCTTTAAACCACATACAAGTGTAATTTGAAAAAATAACCAAAAAAATTGAATTTGAAAATTAAAAACACTGAGACAAAGAAATGAAACAGAAAAGCAATTTTAAAAAAGAGGTGATTAACCAGTTTACAAAGAAAAACAAGCAAAATTCTCTTAAGTTTTTCAAAAGCACAATCGGCCTGAATAGGAAATGCCTAGTTGTGAAAAGTGAGCACCAGGTGACTGGTCAGGTAAGTTTTACTGCAAATCAGTTCCCAAGGGAAAGGAGATGTGAGTCTTCCTCCTGCAGCTTGATCCTGGTGGACCCAGAATCCTGGAAGCACGGGAGACAGGAACATAGGCTGGGAGACGGGAACACAGGCTGGGAGACGGGAACATAGGAGTTGAACAGTCCCCTCTCTGTAATGTGTCCTGAGACAGACACCCCGAGTCTCAATTCAGGGTTTCGGGCTCTTCCTGGAGATGAAGAAGGAGGTGTGTCCAGAGCATAGCTCCACAATGACTTTTTTTTAAAAAAATTGAAGTGTAGATAATTTCCAGTGTTGTGTTAGTTTCAGGTGTACAACAAAGTGATTCAGATACATATATACATATATCTTATTTTTCAGCTTCTTTATCCTTATGTTATTACAAAATGATGAATATAGTTTCCTGCTGGTTATCTGTGCAATGACTTTTTAAAACTTATTTAGTTGTTAGCATGAAGGACATTTATGAGTGAAGGGTGTGAATGGGAGGTGACAGGTGACTTTCATTACACTCCTGGCAGGACCTCTCCTCCACATTGCCGCCACCCATGGAATTCTACCTCCAATGATGATGGTGGCAGCTTCCTCAAATAAAAACCTTCCTTTTTGGAATGAGCTTGAACTCTTCTCTAGGCTGTGTTGTTAAGTGGGGGAAAAGCAAGATGCAAAACAGCATTTCCCAGATGCCAACATTTGTGTGAAAAAAGAAGGGACGAGAATACAGATACCTGTATGCAGTCACACTGCTCAAGGGTTCCCATCAGCTGTGAAACTGGTTGAGTCTAATGAAGCAGGAGGTTGGATGGTAGGAAGTGCTTTCACTGTGTTCCTCTTGGCGGCTTTTGAGTTTTGAGCCTTGTGAATTTACTAACTGTTCGGATAGTGAAATGTGGCTTTTCTAAGATACATGGGAGGCTTCTGATGATGAAGCCCCTCCCTGATCCCTGGACCCCTGCACAGAATCACTGCCTTGTGCCTCCCCTGGAAGCACAGGTGTTCTGAGAGGCAGTTGTTCCAACACAGACTCTGAGAAAGGTTTGGTTTTGTTTTAAATTTTTTTCTTCTAGTTTTATTGAGATGTACTTGACATAAAGCACTATATAGATTTAAGGTGTCTGGTATAATGATGTGACATGTATTTCATGAAGTGATTATCATAATAAGTTTAGCGAACATCTATTATATACGTACAAAATTACATAGAAAGAATTTTTCCTTGTGATGAGAACTCTTTGGGATTTATTCTCTTAACAATTTTCATATGTAACATACAGCAGTGTTGATTATATTTATCACGTTGTATTAATTCATCACATTCCTAGGACTTATAACTGGAAGTTAGAACCTTTTGGTCACCTTTATCCAGTTCCCCCTGCCCCAACCCCTTGCCTCTGGGAACCACTAATATGATCTCCTTTTCTATGAATGAGTTTGTTTTTGAAGTATATTGACCTACAATAGTATGTTATTTCCTGTTATACAGATTAGTGGTTTTTTCCTATACATTTAAAATATGTCACTGTCCACAAATATTGCAGTTATTGACTGTATTCCTCACACTGTATGTTTCATATTGGTGACTCATTTATTTTGTAACTGGAAGTCTGTACCTCTTAATCTCTCTTACCTGTTTATTTCCTCTCCTTTATGCACCTCTCCTGTGACAACCAACTGTTTGTTCTCTGTATCTATAAATGTCTTGTTTGTTCATTTTTTTTAGATTCCACATATAAGTGAAATCATACAGTATTTATCTTTCTCTGTCTTATCTCACTTAGTATAATACCCTCCAGGTTCATCCATGTTGTCATAAATGGCAATATTTTATTCTTTTAATGGCTGAGTAATAGTCCATGGTGTATATGTGTGTGTGTGTGTATATATATATATACACACACACACACATATATATATATATATATTCTACATCTTTTTCATCCATTCCTCTATTGATGGGCAGCACTTGGGTTATTTCTATATCTTGGCTGTTGTAAATAATGCTGCAATGAACATGGGAGTGCATATATCTTTCCTAATTAGTTTTTGTTTTCTCTGGATAAATACCCAGGAGTGGAATTTCTGGATCATCTGGTAGTTTTGTTTTTAATTTTTTTGAGGAACCTGAATACTCTTTTCCATAGTGGCTGTACCAATTTACATACCCACCAACAGTGCAAAAGGGTTTATTCCCTTTTCTCCACAATGAAAAAGTTTGAAGTTCTCAGCATCTACCTCCTTTTCAATCTTGCCCATTTAAAACTAAAATCCGGGGAATTCCCTGGTGGTCCAGTGGTTAGGACTCAGAGCTTTTACTGCTGAGAGCCTGGGTTCAATCCCTGGTTGGGCAACTAAAATCCCACAAGCTGTGTGGCATGCCCACATCCCCCAAATAATAATAGTAAAATCTGTCCTATTTTCTCTAACTTGTTCAAGTTCAATTGTACTTACTTGCTTTGTTTTCTACTTTGCAGGATCCAAGTGGACCTATATAGGTAAGTAGTGATCTTTATTTTTTTTGAAGAGATGGCTGTATTTAATGAGAAACTTCTTGTTTTGTGGAGGTTATTTAGGGGGTTAGGGAGAGCAGTTCTGGTCTTGTTAAGGAGGACACAAAGTCCTCCCTAAAGACTTGCTCCACACGGGTCACAGACAGCTCTTTCTCCGAGGAGCTGAGCCTGCTTCGTGCATCAAATTGCGAGTCACAGTGTTAAGGTTTTCAGATTCCTGCAAACCATCCAGGTGAGGATGCCCAGGTTCCCTTCAGACTGCAGGGGCCCTAAGCAGCAGAGTGCCCTTCTCCTCTGTAGGACATTCATCCTACAATAAACAATGAATAAAGGGCTCCTTTCTGAAAGTTAACTAGGCTCAGGTCCCAGAACTTAAGCTGCCAGTGTGTTTAGCATTAACTTCTTGTTGTCATGTTTGTAAGTAAGCAAGGGACCAAGCAGTGATGGTCGATCCTCAGTTAAAGAGGAATAGTTGTCTTAAATGGAGGGACAGGGATGTCAAGGGTGTGCAAAAGGGTTTTGAGATAAGCAGCTTGAAATTGGCTCAGCTCATGTGTATGCAGTGAATGGGAACTGGTCATCAGCTGGAATGGGGGATGAGGGCCAAGCCCCAGGATCCACTGGCAAGTGCAGGGATATTAATAATGTCCTGTTGGGACTGAGTGACAAGGGATATGCAAGAGAGATTGCTGTGCGGAGCAGGAGGGTGGAACTGGCCAGATTGGCACAGGAGGGATGGTGACAGGCAGGGAAGTCCATTACAACAGAGAAAGCAGAATCCAGAGAAAGATCTGACTTGGATTTTCTAGTTAGCCTTTAGATGTTTGTTAGCCCAAGAGGCCTAGAAAATTCCCTGAGCTAATCAATTAGTTGCCTCCAGGCCAAGGTCTCCTGGCCTCTAGCACTGCAAGGCTTCATCACTGCTAACATCCCTTAGTTACTTATTATGTGCAAAGAACATTGCTAAGTGGGTGGATAATTAGAAGCGTAGGCTGGTAGGCTGTGGTCTGTAGCTGGGAATTACTTAAAGCTCACAGTTCAAAGCAGAATATAATAGGTAATAAAAGCAGATAACAAGTAAACGGTTCTGTGCTCTGATGGTTCAGAGAAGAAGAATGCTAGGACTGGATGGTAAAGAAAAGCTTCCTGGAGGAAGAGGGCTTTCACGTGGACCTTGGGGCATGGGGAGGATTCAATATGGCCAGAAGGAAGTACTATTGGCCAAGCTGAGGATGGCGCCACATGAGTGGAGGCAAGAAAGAGCAAGATGGCATTTGAGGAGATACATACAGAGACATTGTTACGGCGGGGGGCCGGGGTGGAGGGATAGACTCTTAAGGTCAGAAGGATAAGGTGGGTCAAACAGGGGAGCATGGAGGAGGCCAGGCTTTCCCCACTTTGTCTCATGGATGGAGGGGTGGGGTTGGGGGTAATCTGTATTTTAAGGAGAGTAGGGGGTGATAGGGGGTGCAAGAGAAAAAAATAGGAGAGAGGCAGGAAGACGTTTGGCCCTTGAAGAAACACCATTCTGTGTCTTAATGTCCAGTTTAAAGTGATGGCGGTAAGAGGCCAGGGCAGGGCAAGAGCCCTGTTGAAGGAGGAATCCACAGAGTCTGGGTTACCAGCCCGCTCCCCGCCCACCTCACCCCTCCACCCCGGGCAGGCGTGTGGGAGGAGACAGGAGCAGGGCAGGCACCGAAAGAAGCAGGGACTTGAGGTCTGCACCTCATTCCGTGTGGTCTGGTGTGAGCCCTCAGGGCCTCACTGCTTCCCACCTGTGACTTGGGGAAGGGGTCGTTTGATCAGTGTTCCTGAAGCTATGGCTTGGGGTCACCTGCATCAGAATCACCTAGAATGCCTTCCAGATATGCAGATTTCTGGGCCTCAGCCTGGACCTGGGGGAGGGAGGGAGCCTGAAAAACGTGTCAGTTTCAGGTGATGCTTAGGCAATCTGTTAGAGAATCTCTGACCAGATGATTGCCAAGACTTCTCTAGCCTGAGTCAGAGGAAGCCTGCCCCACCTCTTCCCCTGGCTTCCCAGGTAGAGTGGAGACACCAGTCATGTCTCTCCAGGGCTCCCCGCCTCTGTAGGACAGCCTACAGAGTGGAGCGAGGCAGTCATGGAGAGCAGAGAGACCCCATGTCAAGAGGTATAGGAGGAAAATCTTACTGCCACTTAGGAATGACATGGGGCTCCCTGGGGAGGGCCTCAGTACAGCCATATTGACTAATCCAGAAGCATTTCTTCCTGACCCCTTGTGCTGGCCAGCCCTCTGTCCCTCCTATCCCGGACACTTAGGGTGGCTCTTTGCTGAGGAAGCAGAGGGCAGAGTCTAAGGATGCAAGACATGTATGGGGGTGAGCACAGAGGCAAAACCTGGCTTTTTATTAGTGAAGTGAGCACACACGTGATGTGGAGTCAGGTCAGTGGGGACCCATGAAAGAGGCCGGATGGAGGATAGCTAAGGAGGCAAACGGGTCCAGGCTGGCAGCTGGCATCAGTGTTCACAGTCACACCGTAAACAGAGAGCCTGGCATAGATGCCAGGGGGAAATGGTTTCCAAACAACACGGGCTGCACCGAATGAGGCAAGTCCAACCCGCGGCTGAGTGCTGGTTTTCCCAGGGTGCAGACCTCAGCTACTTTGCACGTAGATGCCGCTGAGTCATCCTGCTCTGTGGGCCTCCGGCTGCCAGGAACACATGGCAGGACTTCTAGAAGCACGTGGAAAGGGAATTCAAGCCCCTTTCCCCTCCACACTGAGTCACTGGACTGACTTCCTCGATGGCCTCCTGGAGACAGGAGGGCCATCTGAAAGCCAGGATGGGGCCAACCCCGCCCCAGGTGTCCCCCCTGCGGGGAGGCAGCGGCATCGGGTACATGTTGGCATGTGCTGAGTCAGTGACCTGCCCCCTGCAGTCAGTCCCAACCCGATCCTGCAGAGCCACCAACTCTGAGATGGAGGGCAACTGCAAGTCAGGCTGACTCACTCCAGCCTGTTCAAGGGCTGTTAGAAAGCAGAATAGGGGTGCCCTTGGGTGTGGAGGTGATTGGAAGAAGGGGATACTGGTCACCTTCAGTTCCTTGGTGTGGGTGCTGTGTTCAGTGTGAAAAGCCATCAAGCTTACTTATGATACATGCACTTTTCTGTATGTATATTATATTCAATAAAAGAGTTAAATTCCAGCTGGCTGGGAGAGTCATGCTTACCCGAATAGAGTTTTCAGCCCTCCCACAAGAAACAACCAAAAAACCCTCAGTGTGTTCAAAACAACAGAGCAACTGAAAGGAATGACTGTACAGAAACTAGCAAGCCAAGAACACATGATGTGAACAAAGAACAAACCTGGGGCTCCATCCCTGAGGATGCCAGACACTGCTCTGATGGTCCTCCAATATGAGTAGTTCAGAAACAGACAAACGCCACTGTTCACTATTTGGGAGAAATAAGACAAACCTTCACGGCTTCCCAGGTGGCACTCGTGGTAAAGAACTCACCTGCCAATGCAGGAGATGTAAGAGACGTGGGTTCAATCCCTGGGTCGGGAAGATCTCCTGGAAGAGGAAATGGCAACCCACTCCAGTATTCTTGCCTGGAGAATCCCTTGGACAGAGGAGCCTGGCAGGCTACAGTCCATGGGGTTGCAAAGAGTCAGACACAACTGAGCTACTTAGCATGTAAGCACATCATGGGCGATGGGATATAAGGGGAAGAGGAAGTCAAGCCCCCATCCTGGCAGGTGAGCAAGTCCCATTTCACCCCAAGTTAGGGATAGATGCCAGCCCCTGCATTCCGGAGTGGGGATTCTGGAAAGATGGCAGCTTAGCCTGGGGGTGTCAGGCACCGGGCTCATAGGCCCTCCTGCCCAGCTTCTTTGCCTGGAGCAGGACTCCCATGACCAGGCACTGCCACCGCATTCCTCAAGCTGCTGTCCTCTCTCCCAGAAAACAGATGCTTTATCTTAAAGGATTTCCTTTGGGAATTTGGAAGGGCTCCTCCATCAGGGCGAACCTCATTGGTTCTTCAGGCTCCCACCTCCACCCTCTTCTGTCCTAAATCTGCTGGAATATCAGGTTGCTACAATCAAACTATTCCTGCAATTCAGGACCTTCTTCCTGAGCTAGAACTAGACACGGGACACATGCAAGGAAGCTAGGAGGAAGAACTCTTTCCTTTCTCTTTAGTAGTGGTTAAAGATACCATGTGACTTCCTGATCAAAGGCAATATGAAAAACAGACTAATAGATAGCTAGCGGGAAGCTGCTATAGAACACAGGGAGCTCAGCCCATGCTCTGTGATGACCTGGGGGTGGGGCTGGGGAGTCTTAAGAGGGAGGGGATATATGTATACATGGAGCTGATTCTAGTTGTTGTACAGCAGAAGCCAACACAACATTGTAAAGCAATTGTAATCCAATTAAAAATAAATGAAAAAAAAAAGACTGTCACTTAGAGCTAAAGGGAGAACTTAAAACAGCAGTTACAGAACACATGCAATTAAAAGGCTGATTTCATTAAGGAGAACTCTTATCTATACCAAAAGTAGAGCCTGGCCAACTCACAGAATCCCAGCGCCTTCTCCCCCATTCCCTCTGCCGACCTGAGGATGAATGACCAGAGGCGCAAAGCACTCTTAGGGGAGAGAGAACCAGAAGGGCCAGAACATGTTTTTCATACCAGGAAACTGAATCGCTATGCCTGCATCTTGGGGGTTTCCCTTGAGGGTTAGCAATCCAACCCGCTATGATTTATTCATTAAATCCGTGCTATAGTTCCAGTTACTTCTAGTAGAAGTTGTGACATCCAGGGTCGGCCTGGATGTGCTGTGGTCCACCCGTTCGTCATCATTTCTCGTCTTTCCTGAGTTGCAGAATTGAGGTCTGTGTGTTTTGGGTGCCTGCATTTTCATGTCCACAGCTGGCCTCACCAACTGGGTGAAAAGATAGGGAAGCTAGCATTTGTTCCTAAAGGCGGGGGTGGTGGC